CGCCAGCTGCAGTATTATGAATGCGCGGAATGTTTTCGCACACAAAGAAAAAATGTAGTTTGGTGGCGAGCCAAGTCAATTTTCAAAACCAATTGCATAATGGTCAAAGAGAAGGAGCGTCTTTTATTGATAATCTGGCAAGCTGCCAAATTATCTGAAAAGCACTTAACGGTTTTACCAGCCCAGAGGTGACCCCATGTATGTGCTGCTGGGGATGGGGTAAATCTTGAAAAGGGCTCAGGTTTCCTTGAAGGCCAGTTAGATAAGTGCCTTTCGATACATCCTGAACCAGTGGTTACTAAAAATAGCGATGTGTGCTTCCGCGTCATTCCAAATTACGTGGGAGTGGTCTGTCAGTGGGGGATGAACATGGAGACACCATTACACTCTGCGAGAAAGTGCCACCACATGAGCAGATCGGCCACAGCTGGGGGGTTGAGGACTATGATGTCATCATCAGGCACCCCAGGCTCACCTGTGGAATGATACACATTGCAAAATTGAGGTATCGCAGTAAGGACTGAAGATCCCTCTGTGTACCAGAATATTTTTGAAGAAACTGGCCCAATTCTAGCCTAATGCGTACCAATTTCACATCAGAAGGGCATGCCTGCATTGACACAGAGTCCAGAGATACCCAAGAACACCAACTCTGTTGTGGGGCCTAACGTTTTGTCAGGGGACAATGGGACACCTAGTGTAGAAAACAGTGTTGTGGTGCTCAGGATACTACGTGGAGTATGGAAACCTGCCTCGACCAGTTAGAAATCATCGAAATAGGGTTTAACCATGGGACTTTTTACCACATTCAGGAGCAGCCAACATTGGGTCTCAGCGAAGTTTAGGATGGCTCCTGGATCCAAAAGTGAGTCTGGTGGCGAAATAATAATTTTCCCTCCATTTGACGCCATGGATATGCCAGAGTGACAGATGGATAGGACAGTTTGGGGTAGTGGATGGATGGGACGTGGAGGGGTCTGCTTCGCAAGGACACAAGTTGGAGGAGTGAGTGGTGGAGAAGCATACTGCACAAGATGGGGGTCTCAGGCAGGCAAAATGCCTGCAGAACAGCTCAGTGTCCAGCTGACTCCAATCGATATGGGTGTTGAACTGGGCCAGAGCTGCTGCTGCTTTAGATGACACCGACCTGTGATAGTTGTAGAAGGTGAAATCCCCATATTTGTGCCCTGGGTCCACCACCTAGTGTAAATAGAGGTCAAATTCTTTCCACCACTGGGGGTATACAAAGCAAATGACATCTCTGTATAACCCAAAGCCGAGAACAAATTTGGGGATGGAATTTTTTTTATTGAAACAAAGTATCCCTGGTTTTGAGGACCACAGAAATGTCTCCGTAATTAAAGGCTCTATTTTCCAGGATGTCTAGGGAGAGACTAGGCTGACATCTTTGCCATCCAGAATGTCTTTCATAATGGTAGTGGGAACGGAGTGTGCAGAGGCAATAACTTGTGGACTGGGGGGGTGTGGGTGCAATAGTAATGGCACTACCCTGGGTGTTTGCAGGTGCAGGTGTGGAGGCTAGAACATCAGATGCGCTGCTGGTAGTAGGGATGATGGCTTCTATCTTGATCATCCTCTCGTAAAGTGACTAGAGGGTAGAAAGGATATATGAAAAGGTGTCTTGAACGTGACCATAACTGCCTCCCTGTGGCTCCTGAGAACTTGTGCCAGACCTGGGTTCACTGGACTGGGTTGCTACCAGTTTGTAAAGTTCCGCTTTCCTAGCTGTGGCCAGGAAAGGGATGCTTCTATGTCGTAGTTCTGCGGCTAGCTTAGGTATGATCCATGATCTCAGTGTCCCAGGTGTAGCGGGAATAACAGAGTCTGTAGGTGAGCTTGGTCTAACAGGTGTATTGGGCCTGTTTGGAGTGCCATGGAGTGACAGGTCATCTCCTTGGATTGATTCTTGTAACATCCTATAAATAAATTAGTCAATAGAAACTACTTGGAAGGCCAAAGGTAGTATCCCATACATAGATCTGGCTCGCCAGCTAGTGCCGGTGTTGAAGAACTTAACTACCCCGTGACGGATGAAGCCCTGCCAGTTGTAAAGTGGTGATGAGATAGTCTACCTATGATTTGGCCTGTGGGGGATAGTGGCCACGAATCGTTGTGGCGGGGTGTTGGCCTCTCGGTGACCTAGAGAGTTAAAAGCGTATGGCCGTGACATGTGACCCCCTAAAAACCCCTGAAGAAGGGGATATGGGGTAGATTTTTTGAAACTTAGGGGCCGTGTGGCAATACCTCCGTGAGAGATGGGGAATAGGCCTTGCAGAAACATGAGTAAGTAATACAATAAGGCCAACTCCTAACCCTTTGCAGCCAGTTCTCTATCCCTAGCAGGCATAACGTACTTGTGACCGTACGTACCTAAGTAAACTGAAACACGAAACACGAATGTTTGTGTATAAAAAAACAGAACGTACCCTTACAGGTCTGATGTGAGCTTACTTAAGAGGGATCTGTCAAGTGCACCTATAAATAATAGAAGATTCATGTGGGTAAAAGATGTAGGCATAAGAGGGGAGAGGAGATATATAAAGAGACATTTAATAAAATACCTGATAGGTTATAGGAATATGACTTTAGAATCCTAAATTTGCCTAATGGAGTAATAGTGAAAGCTGGAAAACAGATAGTACAAGAGAAGCCACTACATGCCGTAACATATTGAGGACCTAACATGTGGGCCTGATGCAAACTCAAGCCCCTAAAAGAGCACAATGTGGAACGTAAAAGGTAGATTGAGGTATAAATATATGAATTTAATGAACAAAATGAGAGTAAGGAGAAAAATACCTGAGACAAGGTTTGCAGGAAGAACACTGTTGTTCTTTTTTCCCAATAGGAATGTAAATAATTGATATAGTACCTGAAACATGTGATATAACAGGAGAGCGAAGTGAGAACCGCGTAGGGGAAATTAGATATAAATATGTATTTTAAAAAAAGATGACTATGTAATCTAGAGAAAATACAAAGAACGTGCTGTATATACATACATATGCAAAGTACGTAAACTGAGCCAGACAGTGAAAGGCTCCAGAAGGAGGTAGTGAGTGGAAAACCACGAAAGGCAAGTATTTAACCATACCACATAACTACAAAAAAATGTACCAGAAGGAACCGAACAGAAAAGCCTGCATGAATGGGGAGGACTACAGTGCATTCTGAATGAACAGTGAAAGTTTATACCAAAGCTTATGGTACAAGACACATGTGAAAATTCTGAAAACAGACTAATCATGAATGGCTGAGTGAAAGTGGCTAGGGAGGCTAAGCTTTTAACCAAATGGATGGAGTAATTTAAACACGTACGAATGGGACAAAGACAGTGAACGTAAGAATTTAATACAGACGAACATACAGGAAAACAAATTATCATGCAATATGGCACTACGAAACATGCAAACATAAGTGTACAGGGAGTTACGAAAGTTAAACAAACATGTGTATGAAAATGCAAACGCAGCCCATCCCCACGATTGGTTGGTCTGAACGTTGGAATGACACGAACGGGTTCCCACTTGTACTTACGTAAGTGGCTGGAAGCCTGTGTCTGTGTGAAATGGGAGCCAGGTTCATGGGCGTCCGCAGGGGGGGGCAAGAGGGGGCACTTGCCCCCCCCCCCCTGGATTTTTCAGCCTGTTCTGCTATTTTTCGTGTGAGATTTAAAATGAACTGCAATACCGGCGCTGTGTATGGAGAGAGACAGGGATAGGAAGCTGCATCTTATCCCTGCTTTTCTCTGCTGATTTAAACCGCAGGGGAACAGCACATGCAGCCAGAGACAGCCTACAGATCAGGTAAGTGAGGGATGGGGGAGGATTTGAGATAGCCTATAGATTGGGGGGGGGCAGCAGCCTATAGATTGGGGGGGCAGCAGCCTATAGATTAGGGAAGTGAGCATAGGCGTGCACAGCCTATTGCATTAGGGTGTGCACCCTAAAGCAAAAACACACGCCATGTATGTGTGTGTGTGTGTGTGTGTGTATGTGTGTATATGTATATATATATATATATATATATATATATATATATACACTGCTGTGTGTGTTTGTGAGAGTGCTGTTAGTGTGCTGTGTGTGAGGGTGCTGTTTGTGTGCTGTGTGTGTGTGTGTGTGTGTGTGTGTGTGAGAGGGTGTTTGTGTGTGCGTGTTTGTTCAGGTCCTGTTAGTGTGCTGTGTGTGAGTGTTGTGTGGTTGTCAGGGTGCTGTTTGTGTGTGAGTGTGCTGTTTGTGTGTGGGTGCTGTGCGGGTGTTGTGTGTGGGTTTTGTGTGTTTGTGAGGATGCTGTTAGTGTGCTGGGTGTGTGTGGGTGTTGTATGTGTGAGGGTGCTGTGTGTGCGAGGGTGATGTGTGTGTGTGGGTGCTGTTTGTGGGCTGTGTGTGCTGTATGTGTGTAGGTGCTGTGTGTGTGTGTGCTGTATGTTTGGGTGGAGGTGGGGGCAGATTAGTTAATATCCCAGTCCTGCTGCCTTCCCTGGTGGTTCAGTGGAGAGTGAACTCTAGCCCGGGTTCTCTGCTGCCTCCCTCCATGCTGCTGTGGACCGGTGAGGTAGAACTTTGATCTCCCCACCGGCCCATGGAGGCTTAGACCAGAGCCGCCGCTCGGATAGCGTCGGCTCTGCATGAGCCGACCGGGGAGATCCAGAGATCTCCCCTGCCGGTCTCAATCCATTGGCGTGCCGCGGGGATTAGGGTGTGCCCAGGCACACCCGACACACCCCGTGCGCACGCCTATGGAAGTGAGGGATGGGGGAGACAGCCTACATGAAGAGTCAGCAAGGAGCAGGAAGGTAAGGTAAGAAAAGGAGAAGGAACAGAAATGAGCAGGAAGGGACATCAAGGAGCAGAAAGGGGCAGCAAGGAGCTGGAAGGGACAGCAAGGAGCACAAAAGGTAAAGTAGGAGAAGGAGCACAAAGGAACAGAAATGAACAGGAAGGGTCAGCAAGGAGCTGGAAGGTAAAGCAGCACAAAGTAGAAGGAACAGAAAGGGTCAGAAATGAGCTGGAAGGGGCAGAAGGAGCACAAACGTAAAGTAGGAGAATGAGCAGGAAGGGCCTGCAAGGAGCAGGAAGGGGCAGAAAGGGACAGCAAGGAGCACAAAGGTAAAGGAGCAGAAAGAATCAGAAGGAGCACAAAGGTAAAGTAGGAGAAAGAGCAGAAAGGGACAGCAAGGAGCACAAAGGTAAAGTAGAAAAGGGAGCAGAAAGGGATCAGAATGAGAAAGGAACAGAAGGGTGCAAAATAAGCAGAAAGTAGCAGAAAGGTAAAAGAGCAGAAGGGGCCAAGGATAGAAAACAGTGTCAGAAGAAAAAGAAGACTGTCAAATGAAGGAGAGGAAAAGGAGATTGGAGCAGGAAGGACAAATGAAGTGAACCTTCCACTTTATTCTGGACACCACATCATAAGGCTTTGGTACCTGGGCCAGGCAGGGAAACACTGGACCTTCTCATCTCCAAAGGTAAAAAAAATATCAGTATTAATGTGCTCACTTTTATTTACTGAGTGTCAGGAAGCACAGAGTGCCATTGGGTAGGGGTGTTGCTGATTGGCTAGAGCGGTCAACTGGCACTCTAAGCCAATCAGTAGCTCCCCATTCATAAAAAATATTTTATGAACCGGGAACTAGCAATTGGCTTAGAGCGTCAACTGTCCACTCTAGCCAATCAGCGGCACCCATGCCTGACGTCAATCTGCACTTCCTGACACTCTGTTTCAGAAGCCAAATACCACTGAGCGACCTGGAGCTGGAGGAAGCCTTTGGGGTTAAACCATTTGAGAGCGATTTAACCCCTTAAAGGAAAGCGAGCACCCAGGGGCTTCCTGGCATCATAGCATTTTCATTTAGGTGAAGTTGTTATGGTGACCAGAATGGTCCTTTAATTTGCTTAAAGGAACACTATAGTGTCAGGAATACAAACATATATTCCTGACACCATAGTTGTGAAAACGCTATTCACCCTGGCTTTATGTGATAATGGCTATGCCCCTTCCCTTTCATGACACTGTCAAAAAGGTGGATGTCATTACAATTATGCCCCCCCCCCTGGAAAAATTCCTGCGGCCGCCCATGGCCAGGTTGGAGATATGGAGACACTGCAGGCCGGGTCGGATGTACTGAGGCCGGGTCAGAAAAGCTGTAGGCCAGATCGGAGAGGCTGAAAGCCGGGTCCATGGGCTGCTTGCCGGAGAATTGGTGGGAAATACCGAATCGGAAGTGCTGGTTGTCGTGGCAACGTTACTCGAATCAGGAACCGGCAAAGGTAAGTAGGGGGGTAAGGTTTATGTAGGGAAAACTCCTCCCACAAATGCAGGCCTTAATATATATATATATATATAATTTTCCAGTAATCACCGTGTAACAATCTCTCAGACTTACTTCACCATAAATTGTCATATCGCCCATTATATATTGCCACATATGTTGGTATATTATCCCCCATTGTCTCCATGTTGGCCTATATTTTGTTACACTGTCCCTACATTTAGAGTGCCCACACTTGGTGGTGTCACTGTGTCACTCCATGGTCTCTCATATGTTGTCACATTGATTTATACACTTCCCCTTATATGTTGTTACACTACCTCATATATTGTCACATTACTAATTTTGTCTCATGTAAATTACCTAGTGCTAATAAAACAGTGAAATACACACTTATTCTCTGATCTATGATTTTCTTACATGTATCTTCACATTTTCTTTAATTGGATTTGTTTATTTTTTCATACTGATTATTGACAGGGTAGCATATTACAACATGATGATTCTAAACCTAGTTTGAATGTAATCAAACCTTCCAGAATTTGGAAATTACAAGTGTGAACCATGAATCCAGAGTTAAAAATAAAACACTTTTCACTTTAATTTCTATAATTTCATAAAATTAAACTTTTTATTTTTTCTTCATTTTTCAAGGTTCTAAGTAGAAAATAGGTTAATAATCTGATTCTTTAAAATTAGACTGTAGCCCCATGCAGTAACTATCATTTAATTTCCCTGTTTTATTCTTTTCATGTACATAAAGAACGCAGTGTGTGGGTGATAAACAATTAAAGATTAGTCATACACAGGCTGGACAAAGCTAAATGTCATACAGATTGTCAAGTCAAGGAAATCTATTGAATTGACTTTTAAGAAAGTGTAAGGCATCCTGGTATTCTTTATGACTGAAGACAAATTAAACTGTGATAAAGCTGAACACGTCATGTTGTCAGTAGCTTTTCTACCTACTTGTGGATTGAAAGTACACAAATAGCAACATGAGACATCCAGAGTGTATTACATATTTTATACTTAACCTTGACACCAATAAGTGTTTTAGATGTTTTTGCTTTTGAGCATTTAAAGTATTTAGATGAGTCACAGTTTAAAAAATACAAATCCTGAATTTCTAATTGTTCAATTTCACATATTCTATGTCCAGGGAATCGTGACAAATGGAAAGTTTTCATTGCTTATTTATCATTTGGTTGGTCTTGAAAATGTGAACAAGATGATTTTAAAGAAAACACATGTTTAAATATTTACTAAGTAATGTCAATGAATAATCTGTGTTACACTGCAAACTTATGGCGAAATTATATTTATCTGATCGCATATATTGCTTATTTCACTGTAAAAAAACAAAACATCTCTGTGAAACTGCAATGCCATTCACAGGTTTTTACTCAGTAGGTTTTGTAAAGGAACACTATAGTCACCCAGACCACTTTATCTTAATGAAGTGGTCTGGGTGCAGTGATCCTGTCACTTTCATCTTGAAATGTAAAATATTGCAGTTTTGTAGAAACTGCGTTTTTACATTGCATGGTGAAATCCACCTCTAGTGGCTCTCTTCCTGATACTCATTACATGTGCTTACTCCTCCAGACCAAGTAAAACTTTTTCTGGGAATCAAATGCTGATGATAGTATAATTTGATTGGAGAAGCGCAGTGTGCAATATTTTAGTTAAAGGGACACTATAGTCACCAGAACTACAGCTTATTGTATTTGTTCTGGTGAGTATAATCATTCCCTTTAGGTATTTAGTGTCTTTTCATTGTCTTGCAGTAAACACTGTTTTGTCAGAGAAAATGCAGTGTTTACATGACAGCCTAGGGATAACTCCACTGGCCATTCATCAGAAGGCTACTAGAGGTGCTTACTGGGTCAGTGCTGCACAGTGTGCAGCACTGCCAATCAGTGTCTCTTCCCTCTGCATGGAGACACTGAAATTTCCTTATAGAGATGCATTGATTCAATGTAGCACTATGAGGAGATGCTGATTGGCCATGGCTTTATTTGACTTGTGCTGGCTCTGCCCCTGATCTGCCTCCTTGACAGTCTCAACCATTGCTATGTGGAAGCATTGTTATTGGTTCAGACATTCAAAATACAAGTAATATTGTACTATATTTAGGGAGGGCAGGGGGAGCAAGAGCTAGGTAGATGGTGGTTTTAACACTACAGGGTCAGGAATACATGTTTGTGTTTCTGACCCTACAGTGTTCCTTTAAATTGGTACATTATGAATCTCTCGAATTCTATACTTTGTAGAGGGTTCAGATGCAAAAGCACTGCTTTTAAGCTGGGCACTGAATGCAAGTGGTTGCTGCAGATTTGGTCTGGCTCACCAAATTTTGACCAAAATTGACTTTAGTAAATATAAGCAATTGCCATGCAGTCGGAGTATGGTCACAAAACCCAGACAAAATTAAGTATTAAAGTGAATAACCCATAGATCAAATTAACTCTTCCTCTAGAACCATAGATTCACTAAGAGAAATGTCACTTTAGTTCTTGTAATGCATAGTTGAGAAGTATTTTTGTTCCTCAATTCAGTTCATCTCTGTGAAAAATAGGTGATTTGGACAGGCTAAAAGACAGGGAACAATGGACAGGTTTAATAAATGAAGCAAATATGCTCTTTGCTGTTGAATAATTTCTAAATGAATTGGAGATTGTGTAAGAAATCATGCCTTTACAAAACAACTTAGAGAATGCAAAAGAACAGAAAAATAACTCGGCAAATAATTATATGTTTTACATCTCTAAGGTTTTTGGCATGCTACTATTATCTCTGGAGCATGCTGGATCAAAGGAATGTTAGTTTACCCCTCACTCATCATTTGTCAACTTTTTGACCTGAAGCCAATAGACCTTAAACCTAATTGTAGACATTGCAACTACTTCTGACAAAAACTAATCTTTACACAAATCACTACTTCATTCAATTGTAAGTTATGCTGCTAGGACTTTTTAATATATGCATGCCTTGGTAATTGTATATACTTCAATTTTGTTGAACATTGTCAGTCCAATTTTTTTTTCCAAAGACTTGATTGATGTGTAAAATGTAAACAATTGCACACAAAAATATATCATGCCGCCTATTACATTTAAAATAAGTCACTGAAAAAAAGTGTAGATCTCAGTAGAGACCATATTGTCAGCTATAGAATGGTTAAGATAAAATCTAGATTTTATCAGAGTAACTTGTATTGCATGCAGGAACCCAGCTCAGGGGAGGCCTGCAAATTGATTGGGAACTTACTCATGGTCCTCCTTCTTACTTCAGAGTTCCAAACACAGTTGGTCACTGCGACTCTGCTCCCTTTTATGATGTAGCACATGCACTAGTATGTCATGACATCGATGATATCACACAACACTACAATCAAACATTTAAAACATTTTGGGCATGGCTATCTAGATAAGGAGCTATACTATAAATAGTTTGCTTGGGCTCAGGTCTATGCTCTTTTGTATTTCTGTTTTTGGTTCCCAGTAGCTTGTTATATACCTCTTATTGTTTATCTGGTTTTGATCTAGGCTTTTATTGACTATTCTACTATCTATACTCCTTCACTCAGCTATTGAACCTTACTATTCCTGATTTCTGATTTCCCTGACTCTGGCTTGTCTCTGACCATTCTCTATCTTTTGTACATTAAGCCTGGCCACTCTAAGATCCGGTATACATTTATACCTATATCATAATTTACACACATGCGTATTGAGTCTACCAACATTCCTAGCATTACAGCAGGGTCTAATGGACCCACCAGATGTAAACCCTCTGGGGGCACCATATAATTTTAGGTTTGAGGATATGGGTCATTGTAAGAACTAGTATGCCCATGTTTTGCAGATGTTGTTGAATCATTCAGCAACCCTGCAATCTGAAGGGCTACACCTCCTGCCATTCCTGTATTGGCTGGGTCAGAAACATCCTCCTCAGGTGCTTCCTCACATGTGACTTCAACTATACACTATTGTGGAGCATCTGATACTTGTGATTTTCTTAACTAGATTAGTATACACTTTGAATTACAGCCAGGGCCTATCCCATTGATAAAACAAAAATAAGGTTTATTATAAGACCTGCTTATAGATAAGGTATTTGTGTGGGCTATCCCTTCGTGGGTAAAGGTTAGCCCTTATATCTACAAATATGTGGCTTTTTATGCTTTTATAGGAGAACATTTGGTCCTCTAGGTAGGAAAACTAATGCAGCCAGATCCCTCATTTGCCTGAAACAAGGTAATAGATCATTGTTCAGTTATGCCATATGTAACGAACCCTGATGTGGTAGCTATCGGTTCATTTGTTTCCACCCGAAGTGCTACGAGCATGAGTGATTATAGCTCGCAGTTCGGGTGTCCGTTCGTCTCTTTCTCCCGATCAGATATAGTTTTCCCAGCAGATTCTCCCAATGCAGTGAAAAGGTACACAAACATAAGCCAAAACTTGATGAAGGGTGTAACAAGACTGAAGCTTTATTGGTGCCACACTGGCTTTTATACAACTCCCCATGCAAGGGGCACATGTCATATCCCCTGATAGCTCTGATCTATGTGACCAACATATCCAAAAATCACCCAGATCAGTTCAGGGGGTTTTGAATTTTATTGAAGTCCAATTTGGACCAACCACACACGAGGCTTCTGCCCAGAAAAAGTTCCACGAGTTTAGGCTGTGCAGTCGGTCTATTTCAATAAATCACAAAACCGAACTAATGCACGAACAGAACCCCCTGGCTCATAGTAGCAATTGTTCCCCTGGTTCATGGGAACAAAACTACCGAACAGCGCTCTCCTAAGCAGGCGTTCAAAAAGTTTGACCGGTGTTCGGGGGACACTCAACGATCAAGTCCCGCTGCCTCCTTTCGTGAAAACAAGATGGCCACCATTTTCTCCTGCACATGGCGTTTGGCTATATGAACGGCGGCCACACAGGGAGAGCACTTAATTGATGGTTTCCTTTGGTGATAATGAGCCAGGGGGGTGGTCGGTGGTTCTGTAGTTTTGAAACTACGGAACAAATAAACGAAACTGGGAAAACATGCAAAATATTGTTCGAAAAAATCTTGGAAATGCTGGGTTTTCTTACAGTGAACACTGTGAAAAACTATAAAATAACTTAGTTATTAAAGGAAAATAATAAGCATTTTGCACAGTAATTCTATGTAATACCTGGTAGTCAATACAAGGTCTGACATCACCTTCTTTTTTAGACACAAAGAAAAACCCTGCCCATGACGGTGATGAGTTCCTACGAATAAAAACTTTTTTCAAATTAATATATTAATCTAGGACAAGATTCTATTTGGCTGAAGGAGAATACACAGTAGCCCTAGGTGGTGCCGTACAGGTAATAAGTAACACAATCATAGGGATGGTAACCATATAACCATAAAAACATGTCTTACATTGGAGAAGCAAAATGCTTAACAGCAAGGTAGGCACTTTGGTCTTTTCTTGTCAAGGTTTAATTATGGTTTTACATAAAGACCAGGAGCAATAAATACAAACGCTAATGCTTTGTCCCGATAATACAAACCCTGTGTTTTGAAACAGAGATGTCTTCTGTTGTTCCCAAACGATGTATAATAGCCAATACCAGTATTAAGATACAGTCTACACTTATTACTGATATAACAAAACAAGGTCAAGCACCAGAATGAACTCCCGAAGGTAAACAATTTGCCCACCTGATCATTAAAGAGCATAGGCGTGCGCAGCCTATTGCATTAGGTTGTTCACCCTAAAGCACAAACACACGCCGCGTGTATATATATATATATATATATATACACACACACACACACACTCATATACATACACACACACACACTGCTGTGTGTGTGTGTGTGTGCGCTGCGTGAGGGTGGTTTGAGGGTGTTGTGTGTGTAAGGGTGCTGTGTGTGTGTGTGTGTGTGTGTGTGTGTGTAAGGGTGCTGTGTGTGAGGGTGCTGTTTGTGTGCTGTGTGTGTGTGTGTTTGTTAGGGTCCTGTTAGTGTGCTGTGTGTGTGAGGGTGCTGTGTATGTATTTGTGAGGGTACTGTGTCTGTGCTGTGTGTGAGAGGGTGCTGTGTGTTTGAGGGTGCTGTATGTGTGTGGGAGCTGTATGTGCGAGGGTGCTGTGTGTGTGCTGTGTGTACTGTATGTGTGAAGGTGCTGTATGTGTGTGCTGTATGTGTGTGCTGTATGTGTGTGAGGGTGCTGTATGTGTGTGTGTGCTGTATGTTTGTGAGGGTGCTGTGTGTGTGTGCTGTATGTGTGAGGGTGCTGTATGTGTGTGCTGTGTGTGTGAGGGTGCTGTGTGTGTGTGCTGTGTGTGTGAGGGTGCTGTGTGTGTGTGCTGTGTGTATGTGTGTGCTGTATGTGTGTAGGTTCTTTTTGGGTGCTGTGTGTGGGTGTATGTGTGCTGTATGTATGCGGGTGATTGTGGGGGGGTGGAGGTGGGGATAACTTACTTAATTCGTGTTCCTGCTGCTTTCCCTGGTGGTCCATTGGAAAGCAGCCATTGCCGTGGCAATGCTCAGATCTCGCGAGAGGAACCTGGCGGAGCTGCTGGTTGAGAGCTGGTTGAGGGGAGGGAGGCTGGGAGCAGAGTGCGCCGGCTCTGCATGGACTGAAAGGGGAGATCCTGAGATCTCCCCTGCCGGTCTCACTCCATAGGCGTGCTGCGGGGATTAGGATGTGCCCAGGCACACCCAGCACACCCCGTGCGCATGCCCATGTTAAAGAGATATGCTTCAGAAAAAACAAATAACTAGTGTATAGGCGCTTCGTGAATATAAAGATGAGTGGTGGTAGATATAAGAGT